GCCTAGATAGCCTTGCCTAGTTGCCACTGCCACTACCACAGGACCCAGACAGAGCAGTTACCCATAATGCCAGCCTCTGTGGAGAGGGACTTGCCCAGCTCCCTGCTGGAGCTTACAACAGCGACCTGGGGAACAATACACTACTCCACACAAAGATCATTCAGCACCAGCTTGGACTGTGACAATCACAAGGGAATGGGACAATACAGAACCCCTGAATTACAGGCTCTCTGCATCATTGGCCTGTCGGGCCAATCTTCTGGAGTTATCACAAAAGCGCCATCTAGAAAGGACCTCTCCTTCTCACTAAGTAGGAGAGTTCTCAGCAAAGGGGAACAGGTGCCCTGCAAACTTATCTGCCCTGAGCTGAGAGAAGAGGTTTCAGATGAGAAGAAACCAGCAAAAGAACTCTGGCAATGTGAAAAAACAAGCTATTTTGAAACCCCCAAATGATCACAATAGATCTAAGGCAATGGATCCCAACCAAAAGGAAGTTGTCAAAAAGTCAGAAATGGAATTCAGAGTATGAATGGCAAATAAGATGAATGGGATGGAAGAGAAAGTTGAAAACCAACACAAAAGAAGCCAAAAAAATTTCAGGACATCAATGAAAAAAATGAAAAAGCCTCTAAAGAGCTAGACAACTTAAGGCCGGGCGTGGTGGCTCACGCCTGTAATCCTAGCTCTCTGGGAGGCCGAGGCGGGCAGATTGTTTGAGCTCAGGAGTTCGAAACCAGCCTGAGCAAGAGCGAGACCCCGTCTCTACTAAAAATAGAAAGAAATTATCTGGACAACTAAAAATATATATATAGAAAAAATTAGCCGGGCATGGTGGCGCATGCCTGTAGTCCCAGCTACTCGGGAGGCTGAGGCAGGAGGATCGCTTGAGCCCAGGAGTTTGAGGTTGCTGTGAGCTAGGCTGACGCCACGGCACTCACCCCAGGGCAACACAGTGAGACTCTGTTTCAAAAAAAAAAAAAAGAGCTATACAACTAGACAACTTAAGAGAGGATATAAAAGAACTTAAAGAAATGAAAGAAGCATGCAGGGAATTTCAAAATACAGCAGAAAGCTTCAACAACAGGCTAAAAAATTTAGAAATAGAACTACCGTATCATCCAGCAATTTCACTCCCGTGTATTTATGCAAAGGAAATAAAATCAAAATAAAATCAATATGTCAAAGAGATATCTGCATTCCCATGTTCAACTGTAGCATTATTCACAATAGCCAAGATATGGAACAACCTAAATGTTCATTGATGGATGAATGAATAAAGCAGTCATGGTATGTGTGTATATATACGTGTGTGTATATACACACATACACACACACAATGAAATACTATTCAGCCTTAAAAAAGAAGAAATTCCTGCCATTTGCAACACTATGGATGAACCTGGAGGACATTATGCTAAGTGAACTAAGCCAGGCACAGCAAGGATGAATAGATTCTGAAGATCTAATGTACAGGAGTTAACAATACTGTATTATATGCTTGACATTTGCTAAGAGGGGAAACCTTAAGTGTTCTCACTATAAAAAAAAAAGTTTAACAAATTGCTAAAACCCAATTATGGGTTGGAGCGAAAGTAGAGAGCCCCTGGCAGCCACAGGCACAAGGAAATTCTTTACCATGGGCCTCACTGGCTGCTAAGGAGAAAGGGGAGGGTTGGGGGCAGAGGGCAGACAAATCATGCACTGGTGTTGCAGAGCTTTCCCTTCCTTTACATCTCCGTGCAGACCCAGTGGGAGGAGACCTAGGGTGCTGGTGAGGTTCAACACAGGAGTACTAACTTACTGTCTGCCCGGTTTGCCAGCAAGTCATTGGGAAGACCACAGGATGATTTAAGAAGCAGGTTTCTTTTTAATCAAATACTTAATTGAATTCAGGAGCTGGACCTCACACAGGAAGCAAGAAAGTGAAAATGAAAACACGAACATTAGGTTATACTTTTCTCACCTCGTGCTTTATTGTGTTTGAATAGAAGGTGAATCATGGAATGGTTTACCTGGAAAATTACAAAAGTAAAAGCTTAATAACATTTTCAAAATCTAAATATCTATTTCTTGATTACAAAGTAAGGCCTTCTAACACCAAAAAGTAGATAATACTAAAATGTTTAATGATAGGGTAAAAATAACTTCTAAGCCTACCAACAACGGGTAACAATTACACTATTTTTGGTGGATGACTTTACAGCCTTTTAAAACAGTCAAACCAATGGCATGCTGGGCTTTATGGGACATGGGGAGAGGGGACATTCTGCGATCAGAGGGCCTCTGAATGGCCCAAAGAGCCCTGATGGTGCCACCCTGGGAGACTGTGGAGTCTGGGAAGCCAGATCATCCCTGGGAGTGCTTCTCAGGTCTGAGCATCCACTTACAGATATACAAGGCACAAGTGTTACCATTATTGTTGTCCAGAAACTGACATTATCTTTATTACTTTATGGAGACATTTTTTAAGATAATGTGTTGGGGGAGGGTGTCTCCCTCAGTTGTGGGCAAGGCATTAACACACGAAAAATAAAAAAAAAATGATAATGGCTAATGCTTATAGTGCTATGTGCTAGCCACTGATCCTAATGCAGTCCTGTGATTAACTCGTGTAGTTTACAGTGTCATTCCCACCTTACAGATGGCAAAAGTGAGTTTAAATAACTTGCCCAAGGCCAGCCTGCACAATAAAATCTCAGCCTGCACACGCGTCAAAAGGGCAGGTCTGGGATTCTAACAAAGGCAGCCTGGCCCAGAGTCTGTGCTTTAACTACTGTGACACTCTTAGGCACTCAGAAATGGCCTGTCTGAAAAGGTTGGCTTGAAGCTGGGACCTGATGGAGGAATGGACATTAGGCAGGGAAAACGGTACACTAGGCATATAGAACAGCACAGGCAAAGGCCCTGTGGTGGGAAACATGACGTGTTCATGGAACTAAAAGAAAGCCATTGTGTGGAGCCAAGGCAGCAGAGAGGGAGGAGGTGATGTGACACGAGATGGGGGAGGAAGAAGGGCCCAGGTCAGGGAAATGGGAAATGTATTCTACATGTAAAGGGAAAGTACTCACAGTTCCACACCCCAGTTCCTGGTCTCTTTTGCCTCCCAACTCTCTCGGACCCACGTCCTGTCCACTTGCCATCCCTGTGGCTTAAACCCCCACCCAGTAGACACCTGTCATTATCTGGTTACCCTGAGGCCAGCAATAAAGATCAATTGTTTCAATAAAAATTGATAAAGATCAATTGTTTCAATGAAAAATGTCCTATGATTTACTTTTCTCCACTGTCCTTTGCTTCAATTCCTAATAATTTTACAACGATCCCTTGAATTTTAATAGGTTTTTTCTTTTTTATCAAAAGAAAAATCAAACTTAAGCATTATTTAAGAATGTAGGTAAATTTAAGAGCATTCATTAGTAACTCTTATTTATCAGTCCCAGTACAAGGCACTGAAGGTAAAAAAAAGTAATAAGATATAGGTTGTTCCCTTAAAAAGAGAATAGTAAGATATGGAGGAGCAAACACATACAGGAGGAACTAGAAAGGAGGAAAATAAAAGGCTTAGAAGTATAGATAAGGACACAGTACCAATGGATAAAAGGGAAATCAGGGTAGTTCATTTTTATCTTTAAGTTCATTGACATTCTCTCAGAGATATAGTTGTAGTTCTGGGCTGGTTTATCACTAGGTTAACATAGCAGCATTCCATTTACATTAAAAATTAAAATTGTAAGAGTTCACAAATTACAGTCATTGATTCATTTATTTACAATCCAATTTTGAGCTTCTCCTAGGACATAGAGAATTGTGTCTAATTTGTTAACAGGATGTTTTAGCAGGGGCACAAATTGGCTCCTCTAAAAGTGTTCTAATTTTGTTTTCCCCTCTAACCATTTACCTAAATGGGCTTCTAAAATGAAGATTCCATCTGATCTCTTCTATTTTTCTTCCTGCATTTTTCCTATGAGGTAAATAAGCTTTTATCTGACTATTTGGATGATCGTACAAAACCTCAACCACGTTAATAGCCGTCCTTCTGGATCTAACAAGCCAATATGCTGATAAAGTGGGTGACATGTTGTTCAAAAGAAAACAAAATGGGAAAAATAAGAAACTGGAGAATAAAGAAAAACATAAAAATTAGTAATCAGGTTACTAAATTACTTTTAAGTGATTTAACATTTAATATTGGAACATTAGTCCTCTTTAAAGATGCTTACAATCTGCATTGCATACGTGAACACCAGGAAAACACAAGGTGGTATAATTTCTTCAAACCAAGAGAAGTTGATGCTGTAAAGTCTTCAAGGATAGTCAAGAGTAAACATTTAGGTGAGTTTTGTTAGACACAAAGAAGTGTGCAATTTTGTTTTCCTTTGCAACCTAGCTGCAGTATGCAGTTGAAATATTCCAGGCAGATAAGGTCCAATGCCACGTGCATTGCTGACTCTAGCCTTTTTCCTATTACCTATTGACGTAATCTTGCAGGGTATTTCTTGGCATGGGACCCACCTAACTCCTTGGGAGAAGTATGTCAAATAAAAGCTTTAGGTGATGTTTTATAATGGATCGTACTGTCATCCTTCTTTCTCAGTAATTTCTCTCTTCTCCTGCTATTCCATCTTTCCCTCCCTACCACCCCAACCTACTACCAGGTGATCAAAACATTAAAGTGGAGAAGTTATATAATGGATGAGAAAGGAAGAATTGAGAGTCTTCCAACTCCCTAAACATATTATATAAATGCTCATGGGTAATTTGAAGTCTCAGAATTGTCCCCAAGTGCAAGCTGATTAAAGGAAAGCTATGTGCTTTCTGCATTGAGTCTCAGTGTCAGCCACAAATAAGGGTCTGATCCCAGACCTAGACTTTCCCAACAGCTATTGCTGTACACATAAAAGTTTACCAAACCTACTGTGGAATAAAGTGACAGACAAACTTTCCCTAGGTTTTAGTAGCAGTTTGGATTTTTTTTTAACTATACAAGATTTTAAACTTACCCCAATAGCTGCTAAGATTGGTGCTTGATAAATCCACTTGATGTCTCC